TCTGCTGCTGTGCACACAAACACGAATTATTTCCCTTCTTTAAACCTCTTTTTTTTCTGTCTATACAATGGAGATGAAAGACTTTGCATAGCAAATACCATTGAGATCTAAGGATAACAAATATCCATAAAGCAGATCAGTTCTTATTATTTAAAACATAATCTATTATGTTTGCATTCCTATGTCTGTTTGGTTTTCTACATTTAGAGGCTCTGTATGATATTTGATTTTATACTACATGAAGTGAAGGTTACATAGAGATAACTACCAAATTTATGATCAATAGAAAATTGCCAATATTTTCTCCCAACCGATTCTTTCCAATCATCCAGCTCAATACAACAATAAAAAGCTCTGAATTGACATTGTTTCCCTATTTCATGCCCTGTTCAAATTCCCAAGGGATGACTCATTTAATTAATTATATCAAACTATCTAGTTGCTTTTATTGACAAATCCATTCATATGAAGAAGGCTGCAAATTCCTCTTCAGGTTAGCATTGTCCTACTGGTCCATTTTTAAAATTAAAGCAAATTTACTGTCATTTCTCATATAGTTTTCTGCAATGCTTTTGCTGTTAAGACTCACATTTGTAAAGTGCCCCCACTGACACATATATAGGAAGTGGAAAGTTCTTGTTTTTCCTAAATGTGGTTAATGAGAAAAAAGGAGGCAGTTACTGTCAAATGGACTGTGAACTAAATACGTTGCTCAGCCTTCACTGGGGAATTCAATTAACCTAATCACAACCCAGAATACAGCTCTTGCATGACACCTGGAAGCAGAGACATGGTCGGCCACTTTCCAACTTCCTCTGCTTGACAGCTTGCTCAGCACAGTGGCATCGAAACAACTGCTCTGAGGCTATTAAGTGCAGTTAATCCAAGGCTCAGTTTGCTTAGGGATGGGACTGATCAGTGTGAGGTATATGAGATCAAACACAATTAACAGCAGGAAGAATTTAATCCCACTGGTCAAATGTCCCAGACCATGGAAGAAAATATGAATCTAAACTTGGGTTTGGTTAAGAATTTTATTCATGGCAGCATTTTTCTATGCAGCTGATTGACCCAGGATCCCATATTTTTAGAAGTGGGAGAGGAGTAATTTAAAATCTAGATGAAAAATTTGAAGCTTGGACAATTCTTTTTTCCTTTTTCATAGAAGGTCAAATAAGATATTTTATGCTCCAGGGAATTTCCCAATCTTTCTCTGAGTTTAGAAAAATGAGCAGATGCTGCTTTCTGATTTTGGAAATCATAGCTCTCTCCAACAGATTTCAAACACTCTTGCTAAGATTTAGAAGAGTCTCTTGCCCTGTGTGGCAAGTAGGGATCTGCTTTATTTCCATGAGATTTCCATCCAAAGTTGTTCTAGAAAGTGTTTAGTTCTATAGAAGACCACACATTTACCACATCTACAGAAATTTGTGTCATTAATTCCTTGGTAAACCAAACTCTTGTAAGGCTTCTTCCCTGTGAGGGTGGTGAGGCACTGGCACAGATTGCCCAGAGAAGCTGTGGTTGCCCCATCCTTGGCAGTGTTCAAGACCAGGTTGGACAGGGCTTGAAGCAACCTGGTCTAGCGGCTGGTGTCCCTGCCCGTGTAAGGGGGTTGGTACTACATGAGCTTTAAAGTCCCTTCCAGCTCAAACTAGTCTGGGATTCTATGATTCTATGATTCTTCAACTGCATAGTCAAGAAATCTTTGACTCTTAACATTTTTCTCTGGAATTAACAAAACATAGCAGAGTTGTACCTCAAAGCAAGCGCCAGTTACCTGTTCTATTATCATCTTGTTTTTATACTCAAAGCTAAAAGAACAAACTAACAAAACTAAATATGTAACTGGGCATAAGCATAAAGGAGTTCAGTGATTCTAAAAGCAGCACATATGAATGTATTAAAATAAATGACTAATAAAATGATTCCTCTAACCAACATCTTTGCTTTGGATTTGCACAAGAGGTGGGTTGGTTGTTTTTTTACCAAATGCTGAAAACTTCTGCAGAACTTTACAGTGAGCATGAAAAATTTTATCGTTCTGGACCTGGGCTCTAATCACTAAATTACATTCCAATGAGTTCACCAGTCCTTTCATCTTTCTATTAATTTTGTAAATATTACCATTTTGACACAAAAAAAAACCAACCAAAAAACACAAATGCAAAAAACAAACCTACTCTGGATGCTCTAGGTAGGAAAACTAAGAGAGTTACAGAATCTTAAACCAGCCCCAAGTATCCATCCATTACAGAATCAATAAAAATAGTTTAAAATTTCCAGTTATGGAGCAAGTGCTCACATACTTTTTAAATATTATACATTTAAGATATATAGGCCATGTTTGTTAGAGTATATTTAGGTTTTAAAAGCTTAGCTCAGAGTTTTAAAATTACACTGAAGTATGTTTATCTATGTCTCATCAGATATAACAGAGGTAAAAGCCCTGCTCTGGGATTTACTTGTCAATTAGTCTGTGAATTCTCATTCTGTCATAGCACCAAGCACAGTTGAAAAAAGAGAATCATTATGGGGTTTTAGGAATACTAAAATTAGGAAGACTAAATTCCTATATCAAAGTTATAATTTTATGATTCAACTAAGTTATAAGCTATCTGTGAACTATTTAAGCCATATACATATCATTAAATCAACTACACAGAATTCAGAAAGACCTTATTTTGACTGCAAATCTTGTTCTTCTTGAGCTAAGACAGCAACTTTTCAAATAGCACAAGGAAGAATAGAAGTTAGACAAAGATAATATCACACATTCAAAAAATGCAATTTTCTTGATTAGGATATTAGAAACCCTTAAAAAGCCAATGGAACTCAGGAATGCAAAAATTCAGCAACACTGTTTCCCTTATTTACAAAAATGGAACTAGTTTGTCAGCAGAAGACCCTAACATGCTCACTGGAGTTACTCCAGGCTGACATTTATAGCCTCAAAAGGCTCTTTTTAGCTAGGCCAGTACAGTCAAGGACACTTGGGTCTTCGCACTCAAGGTATATTCTTTCCAGTTTTACCATGTGTAAATTTAACTAATGAAGAAAAATTAAACATTAGTTAGGAAATCTGATTCTTACGCACTGGTTTCAAGAATAATGTACAAACTCCCTTGCAATCCTAACTAGAGAGAGCTAGTAGAAAATCATGCACAAGTGAAAATCACCTTAGATAAATATGGTACCCTGTCCTTCTTTTGATACAGACCAGGATATGGGTGGTTTCTGGGCTGCAAGCTCACACTGAAGCTGGCTCATGTCAAGGTTCTTATCAACCAGCACCCCCAAGTCCTTCTCCTCAGGCTGCTCTGAATCTCTTCTCCGCCCAGCCTGTAGCTGTGCCTGGGATTGCCCCAACCCAGGTGTAGGACCTTGCACTTGGCTTGGTTAAACTTCATAAGGTTGGCATTGGCCCAACTCTCAAGCATGTGAAGGTCCCTCTGGATGGCATCCCTCCCCTCCAGCGTATCAACCGAGCCACGCAGCTTGGTGTCACTGGCAAACTTGCTGAGGGCGCACTCAATCTCCCTGCACTAAATAGCTGAACTCATACATGAAAGTGAAAAATTTTGGATGCTATTAGCAGATAGTCTTATTAAGCTATCAGTTGCTTTAAAAAATAGTGATTAAAAAAAACCCAAACCTCAAATGACTATTTTTCAAATGCACAATCAAGAAACTGAGAATGTGATATTGTATAAAGTATTTTGCACTGTTCTGATGCTAAAACGCCTCATGCTTTAAGAGGAATTTTTGCAGGTCATTAGTTCATAATGCAAACCAGCACTCTGGGGTATTTTTAAAGGAAAATGAAGGTGGGAGGAAAACAAGCTGAGCTATTTTGTTTATGCCAGCACAGACAACTGCATTTCTAAGTATTTGATTCAGCTGAAGCTCTAGCACTTACGCAGTTTTAGTGGCACATGCTATAGTGACAGTGAAAGTGACTGAAATAAATGCTGAGGCTTTTTGCAAGTAGCATCATGATATGCAGCATGTGTCTAAGATAGGAGCTACACCAAGTATATCCATCATACACAATTTTCAGTCCTCTTATCTCATCCCCTAGTGTCTCCTTTCTCTTCTATTATTTACCGGGAGGAGAGACGGAAGGTTGCCACAAGATTATTTCAATGGCAGCTTCGACTGCCCCAACCAGTTTTCTGCTCAACGCCTGTGACTGACAATTAGTTCTGCCTGAAGGACAAGGATAGGAGAGATTTCTGAGTGCCAATCACTGGAGCATGACACATGCTGTGAGTGAAACATATAGTGCTACTATAGTAACTTAAGGACATTATTTTTAATGCAAAACTGTGGTAAAGAGAATTTTAAGCGAGTTATATGCAGCTAGCATTTATTTTTGTGGCACCTGACTTAACATGAACAAAAGAAATGAACCTGAGCTACAGAGTTTGGACCCAGATCTAAACTGCCTGTAATTCAGCAATGCTTAGATCAGTGTTAAGACCCACCTTTTGTTTCATCTGCAGAACATGAGACCTTTTCAGACTAATCATCCTAATCTGATATCCTCATGTGCCTTCATCCAAGTTATCTGCTAGCTTGACCCACACAACAGCACAGCTCAGCAAGCTAGTGTTAGTAAACCTGTGAAAGTATCCAAATTGCACAGCCCTTATCTTAGGCCATCTAATACTATTAAGGACGTCCCTTAGGCTCTTCTTTTATGGAAACTTCTCTAGCAAAACAATGCAGAACATACTTAAGAAAAGCCTAGGCTTCCAAATAGTGCAAGAAAACCAAGGTTCATCACCTGTAGAGACCTACCTTAGTAGTTTGTGAACCAAGCTAAGGGAAGTTATCCCTAGGGATCCCACTGCTGATAGGAGAAACAAAAGCATCACAAGAATTAGCCTAAGGTCACAAAACAAGTGGGTAGCAGCATGACACTAAATACTACTACTTCTCTTCTTGCCTTCATTTCTGGCTGTGATTTCTAATGGGAGATTTGGGAAGTTACATACCTTTCAAAAGATAAGTGAATGTGTTTAGAAACTCTTCATATGACTGCTCATGGCTATTAATAAATTGATCAAGGATGCTGCTGTTCAACAGTGGTTCTTCCATCATCCACACCTTAACAGTCAAACAGGTATATCTGCTTTAGTAGGCTGCTTCTGCAACAGAAAAAAAAAGAGCTGCATATATCTGCAGGCAGAAAACAAGAGTACCTAAGTCAAAGAGATGAGCACTAGAACGTCCACCTTTTATTCTCTCCCTTGAAGTTCTGACCTTGCAAACATTTCCTCCCAAAATTCAAGTGGACATAGTAATTTTAAGCACAAAGGGAGAGATTGATGCCTGAAATTTCTTTCCTTTGGTAGTATGAGCCACAGAAGTGCCAAACTCTCTTGGTAGTGCTCATTCCCCCTCATTTTCATAGAATCATAGAATCACAGAATAGTTTGGGTTGGAAGGGACCTTTTAGCTCATCTAGTTCCAACGACCTGCCACAGGCAGGGACACTTTCCACTAGACCAGACTGGCCAAAGCCCCATCCAACCTGGCTTTGTTCAGTCTTACAACGCCTGCCTTCTTTGCAGGAACAATGCCAACGCTCACTAGCATGATGGATTTAACAACAGTGACACCTATACATGCAAAACTTGTACTGGATCCATCATTCTGCAGGTGCACTTCTCACTGTACCATCAAAGCCACTAAATCCAGATTTTGGAGGGCATGTCAAATTATGATGACACATGTATGTATGCTGAAACAGTACACAGGACAGGAAGGGTAAGATGGGACTGGGCAGGCATACAGGAAAGCGAGGACCATTCTCAAGAAGAGAACAAATGCTGAGAGCTGAAGGAATCCCATAGAAGCTTCTCTGGACTTGAAAGCTCCACTATCCACATCACATAGCAACAGTTTTCTAGACTAACTCCATCACTTTACAAGACTCTAAATGAAGCAATTAATGGTCCTGAAATGGCTCAGTAAAATATGCTGAAATTAACCTGCCCCTCACTTATAAAAGCTGTGTAAACAATAGAATCACAGACTAGTTTGAGTTGGAAGGGACCTTTAAGTCTTCCAGTGTTTTACAAAAAACAAATCAGTATTAATCTCTTGGTGGACTGACCAAACAGAATGTCATTTACCAGACTCTCAGAATGGTTTATGCAAATGGCAGTGGTTTCAGAAGGAAGCAGTGCCTTCTATTCCTCATTATTGTTCAGTTATTACAGTCTTTATTCGTGGTAAATTTCATTGTATGAAAGACAGCAGTGATTTTTAAGGCTAGTGTCAAGGGAAAAAAAAAAACATATATTTAATCAAGAAAATGATAATACAACCTTTTGTTCTTCTTTGGCACCTGGTGTCTAGGATCTCCAAGTCCTTTATAAACACTAATGAAATAAACTTCACAATAATCATATGAGGAATAGCAAACAAATATTATTCTAAATAACAGACAAAAAAACTGAGTCACCAGGAGGAGTTTAAAAGACTTCAAAGCAAATTAGGGGAGGGCTGGCAGTAAAGCTTAGATTCCTTGACTCTAAAATGTTCTAGGAAGCTAGAAGATTGATAAGCAATTTGAGGAATAGTTGTATCCTTAACGAAGCTGAATGGCAGCTTTGGCCATCAGCCTGAGATTAAGCAAAATCTCAGGTGTTACCAAAATGCTATAGCTCAATTCTTACTCTGCTGTGCAGCCTCTACTTCCTGCAGAAAAAAAAAAAAAAACAACAAACAATAAAAAAACAGCAGAGAAAATTCCCTGGATATTCCAAGCATAGGAAGAGACTACTGCCGCTCAATTAACAGCATTTTTTTTTTTACCAGAAAATAGATTCAAATTTTACTTAAGTCAAAGCAGTAAATCCAGGGTAACTCTCCTACAGCCAACATAGTTATTACAGGCATTAGTATATGAAATTTGCTATGAACTATGCCAAAGGTATTCATCTTGTGTTAAGAAATAAAAAAACCCTGTCATTTGTAGGCCACATTTCCTTATTTTTTCTTCTGAAAAAAAAAAAAAAAATAATAAAATTGTAATGCGAGTTCACTGAATTATGCATAAAAATAATCCTAACTGGAAATGAGGGAAACCCTCTATGTCATTCTGGCATCCATACTCCATCACTTTTTATAAGAACTTAATGGCTTTGCTTCAAAAATCTAAAGCAAGAAACAGAATGCCAAATGGACTAAAGAGGTACTAGTCCAACAACACACCTGAAATCTTCCTTGCACAGCTGTTATTTACATCTACAGAATAATCTCCTCATGGAAAGGAAAACCAGCCAGGTTCTCATGAAAGCCTAGGTTCTGTCAGAAGAACAGCACTGACTCGAACAGAGATACTTGCAGCTGGAACTACTTGTGTCCCCCCTGTTTTCAATTATTTGGAGAACTGCAGGGTGCTACTGCATCCTCTTAAATGAAAGCAAGCACAGAGGAAGGTATTTGCAGAACACCCGCTGTCCCTGAAACTGAACATATGCTTCAGGTGGAATAGATGGCATTAGGATGCAAGGCATTTGACACTGACCTGCACAACATCCTTGTCTCTGAACTGGAGGGCGTGGATTTGATAGATGGACCACCTGGTGGATAGGCAATTGGCTGGATGGTTACACTCAAAGAGCTGTGGTCACCAGCTTGATGTTCAAGTGGAGACCAGCAAAAAGTGGTGTTCCTCTGGGGTCAGTGTTGGGACCGGCACTGTTCAACGTCTTTGTTGGTGACACGGACAGTGGGATTAACTGCGCCCTCAGCAAGTTTGCCAATGACACTAAGCTGTGTGGTGCAGTCAACACACTAGAGGGACTGGATGGGATCCAGAAGGACCTGGACAAGCCAGAGAGATGGGACCATGAGAACCTCGTGAAGTTCAACAAGGCCAAGTACAAGGTCCTCCACTTGGGTCAGGGCAATCCCAAGCACACATACAGGCTTGGGGAGACTGGATGGAGCAGCCCTGAGTAGAGGACTTGGGGGTGTTGGGTGATGAGAAGCTCCCCATGACCTAGCAGTGTGCGCTTGAGCCCAGAAACCCCATCCCCTGCCACTCTGGCAGAGCATGAGACTGAGAAAGTCCTTGGTCAGAGTAAACATTACTTAGCAACACCTAAAAACATCGGTGTTATCAGTGTTGTTCCCAGACTGAAAGTCAAAACCACAGCACTGCACCAGCTACTAAGAAGGAGAAAAAATGACTGCTGTAGCTGAACCCAGGACACAATAACTTCCTTGGACTGTCATGAAAAAAAGAAAAAGAAAATGTACAATAATTGATTAGAATCACTCACAGTTTATGAATTGGATACCATCGCATCTCTATGAACACAATGACTGCACTGCTCTGCTAGAGAGTAACTAATCCTGACATCAAAACTCATCTTCTTTTTCCCAAAAGGCATCAAACTAACTTGGAGGTTTCAAGGCAAGTAAGGCAAGGATATCTGATCCTTTTACCATGCTGACTCTGGATGGTTTCAGAGTCAAGTATCAGTAAGTGATGCATTCAAGCAACAAATGCACTTTCTTCTTGCATCTCTTACTTATCCATCCAAATTACCATAATGAGGTTTCTTGAGGCGATCATTCATTAAGCCTTGCTGATAATGAGCAGATTGTGAAAAATCAGTTTTATTTCTCCAAATACAGTCTTCTTCCCAGCAGTTTAAGCCAAACCAGAAATCTCCACCTTGAATCACAGATGCTTGTCAAGTCAATATCAGCGTGATTTCAATTACACAGTTATTAGCTATATTAAACAATAAAAAATGTGGTGGAATATGGGCTTCCTGGTTTATGCTGCATTTTTGAGTGCTTTATTATGTTTACATTACATATAATATAGGAATTGAAAGAAAAAACAAGATTCTGAATTTTTAAATGGAAAGAGCAATAAATTAATCCTCTCTACAAACTCACTAAAACCTGGCATAATTTTATTTTTCAGGGGAAAAAAAACAACTTCACTAGTATATCTGGCATATGTTCAAGTCAGGTTTCCACACTATGAATTTGCTCTCCCAAAAGTCATTCTCAACTATAAAACAGATATTCAGAAATGTTTATTTATAGATCACTTGTAGGTTCATGGAAAACACCACCAGATACACCTGTTCTCAAGATTTTATAACCTATGTCTGCAAAAACAAGTTTGAACATAAATACATTATTTTTACATCTTACACTCTGTTATCACTAGACAACATCTGATCTTTTTTCCTTATGGAGCTAGCACAGTAACTACACCAGTCACAACTTTTTTTTCAAAAGTATTCTGTAGAACGTTTGAGTTGGAAGGAATGTTAAAGCTCATGTAGTACCAACCCTCTGACATGGGCAGGGACATCTCCCACTAGACCAGGTTGCTCCAAGCCCCATCCAACCTCACCTTGAACACTGCCAGGGATGGGGCAGCCACAGCTTCTCTGAGCAACCTGTGCCAGCGCCTCAGCACCCTCACAGGGAAGAACTTCCGCCTAAGATCTCACCTCAATCTCCCGTCTGTTTGTGGTTAGCTATGGACTGTGGTCACTACCTTAACAAACATCCCAGGATGGCACTGTGAAAGTGGGCCTAGTGACCAGAGTGATTCTGGGAATTCCTGCTCCGAGAAAGACACACTTTTGCAGTGGGACAGCACAGGAAGATCACCCACTTTCCAGAAAGTAGACAACTGTTTTCTTCTTGTTCACACATCTGCAAACCTACAGTTACAAAAGAAAGCCCTCCCTGCTCTACTGCCCTGCCCTACTTTTCTCCCTCCTCCTCCTCCCCACTACTCACCACCTGCAGGGAGGCAGAGCTCCTGGAACAAACTCAACAGCAGCACGCTCTGGCCACAAGCAGGTGCGGGTCAACTGAACTAGGAAAACAAACTGAAAGACAAAAATTTCAATTACAAAATAACTAAAACTTTCAGATGAGGTTCCTTGCAGCATTTCTCAGTTCAATGTGATCTCTAACAGCTAATCCTGACTGCATCAACTGGATGTCTGCCACTGCCTTCAGCAGAACGTTTTAAAGACACACACTTAATACATCAGCAGTTTGCCTGGATGGAAGCTGCAGCTGCTGGCATGAGTGCACTACTGAGC